AAATTATCAAAAATATATAATACAAGATTATTGAGAGAATATGGATGACTATGTTATATTTGTAAATTGATTCTTCTATTTTTACAATATTCAAAAATTTTGTCAATGTCGTTGCGTGGGTTACGATTTATAATCGGTAGTGAATCATAAAGAAAATGTAATCGAGATATATTTGGTACTACTTGCGTCGTTCGATTTCTGAAGCGAGGTAACAGCTGTACTGATTACTTATTATTTTTAGCAACTATGTGTAGCTGTTTCAAATTAAATTCTGGAAAATCAGTATTCTTTTAAAGGATTTCTGACACAATAACATAAGTATTTCCACAAAGCACAGACTTCCAAGGAACATTCTAAAAACGTCCTAAATCCTAAGGATGTTCCTAGGACATTCATTGAATAAAGTATATTCTATGGGTTGTAATTATGTTACAACAATTTCCAATTTTTATGTAACAAAATTTTAAACATATTATACATATTTTTATCCATTATATAACTTGAATCAAAGTTAATCCGTTATAATCTATACAGCACAGACTTTCACGTAATATCCAAAAGACATCTAGAGAACGTCCCCACATAAAGTGTGCCCTGGTGAAAATAAAAATCGGAGCGTAAGTCGAATATAATGGGAAAGTAATAGAAGCATAAACGGAGCTTTTAGAAGGTGAAAATTGAAACAACGAAATGTAAAAGAGACGTTTACGCTTCGTTTATGCTTCTATTACTGTCCCATTACATTCAACTTACGCTCCAATTTTTATTTTCATCAGGGACTGTATAGGAAATAGTAGTATACAAAGTTTGAGATTATATTTAAATGTGTCATCCTTTTGAAAGGAATAATATGTACTAAAGATTTAAATATTGATAGCGATTAATTATATAAGTTTCGATTATTATATAATTTATTATACAATTTATTATATATTTTTTAATTATAACAATTATATTTTGTACATGTTTTTAAGATTGCTTAATTTTATTTCAGAATATTATTTAGAATGTTTTTGGAATGGCGAAGAACGAAGCTTTGCTTTTCAGACAGTTCATGCGATTGTCTGAAAAGTAATTGTTTTCCTTTAAACATTTTCTTTTTAATCGAAAGCTACTGAAAAGAAGCGGAACTAAAAGCGGTCACGGACGTTTCATTGCGCGGCCAATTAGCGATCTAATTAACGCGTGTTTCCAGGGCTGTCATCGTCCTTGTACGGACGACAGAACCGGCGTCTCGATGAAGCGACTATGTTTAGAAGAGCCGAGGTACTGAATCTTCGTGTATTTCAGTTGCGAGTCATTTTCTGGTTTGGACTGTGGCCAGTGCGACTTGTATAATTCGCACAAACTTTCTTACATATAGTCACTCTCGTTTGTGACGAGCCGCGTTATAATTACCCACGTGACATCGTGATTCATTACGCTTCCTCCCTATTAGCGTCCTGTCTTTTCCACATTGCGGGACGCTTCCTTATGAAACCGCTATTTGCTACGCGCCGAATTTCCGGCCAGTTCTCAGCTGTTTATTGATGTTCCCTGGCAACACGCTTATGCGCGCTCCCGTTTTAAACAGAAGATTAACAAACGTTTACATTGCGGCTGCTTTGTGATCGCGAATGTGCACGTGTCCGTGCACTTTCTGAAATGTACGGAGTTCTGGTCTTGGTTAATTAATTTCTAATGGTCAATTAATTTCTAATAGAAATATTAAATTTATAAACTTAAGCTATGTTTAATTGAAATGTACCTAATTGAATCTATAAACACTTAATAACGAGTCAAATAATGATTAAAAAATTATTAATGAATTTTTAACAAACTTATTATTATGTTATCTTATAATATTAGCTACTTATTATATTAGCGTTTAAGTGATGGACAGAGTTCCATTAATTACGGTGTTTCTTGTTACTAACCTGGCGCGTGCTTTAGAAAGCTGATCAATCTGATCTTGAAAGTCGACGACGACCTCCTGATGCTTTTTGCGCAAGAGATGTGCGGTCTCCTCGCTCTCAATATGGACATCTTCGAGTAGTTTACGCAGCTTGGCCAGTTCCATGTCCCTCTTCTTGTTGATCTCAAACTAAGCGAGAAAATTATTAATTTGTGCATAATTTATGTTTAGCTATTTAATACTACTTTTTGTAACTGCAGTTGACCTAAACAAAAGAGTTAATAAAAGAGTTAGTAAAATTTTAACTTACTTGAGATTCGGCGCCACCCTCAGCCTCTTCGAGACGTTCAGACAATTGGATGACTTGCACGCTTAAATCAGCGCGCTCGCGTTCGATCTGTAAGATTGTAAATTCTTGTGAAAAAATGAATAGATAATTTTCAAATTTATGATTTAAATTTATAAGTTTAAATTTTATATAAGGTCCATATTCCAAAGGGACTAACTTTTAAAATAAATTATTAATTAAATAAGAATGCAATAAGGATATTTCTCTAAACGATAAAGTAATAGTGATATTACAAGTCCAATATTATAATCTTCTCAACAATATTACATACAGCGTATGTTATATTTCATTATATTTATATCGTATTGAGTGACAAATTATAATATTGATGTAATGTTACTATTACCTAAGGAACACATAAGAGTCAACAAAAAATCAAAATGACTTTATTTTGATTCTTAATATCAATAAACAAATTTTGTAATCAAAAGTCATCAGTTTGATCTTCATGACGTCAAAATAAAAGAACACAACAAATCATGAGAAAGTCAAAATAACATCTCTTGACTTGATGTATTCCTTGGGTACTTTACGTTTAGCGGGATGTATAGCTAAATAGGAAAGCTCTTAATATGTTTTTACAATAATTAAAAAATAACGTTTAAATTAAAATTGATGAAAAAAATAATATAATTACTTTTTATACTTCCAGATATATTATTTTATACTACTTCTTTTAAATAATTGAAATAAAATAAACAATAAATAATAAAATTTTTTAATTAAAATATATTTTTTTAAAAGTTTAAAAACGTTTTTATATTATATATTCTCTTATGTAACCTATGCGTTATATAATTAAATGTGAAATTAGATCCTTAGGAATGAATCTTGTGACAAATGCAGTGAAGTTATGGTTATTATTTTGATCAAAGAAATTGCATGACAGCGTACTTTGCCACAGTATCTTAAGTGGTAGCTTGACGTCAGGTTACTTCACATCGTGAATAGGACGATCTATTTTTGAGCGCGGCGTATCTATATTGAGAGTCTTATTCATATTACAAACGAAGCGTTTAACGGGAAAAAGAAAGATCACGATACTGCTATCACAATATTACATGAAATTGTTTTATTATTATCTTAATTAGTATTATTTCAGATATTTAATAAAGGCAACTGTTATTGGAATTTAATATAAAACACGTATGTGAATTAAAATTTTGTTTCTTTGAAATTTTATTACAGTTATATAACACACTCGCTGTTTGATGATAAAATTAAATTGTCATGTGTTTATGCATCTATGTAAGCGTATCGTAAGAAATTAAATTAACTGTATGCTTTTGTATAACGGTCCAATATTCAAAAGAGATTAGCAATTTTTAAATATGATGCATTCACGTTTAAACAAAGATATGTAAGGTGTTCTGAAAGCGTACACCGTGCGCTGTAACGCGTCATATAAATTTTCGAGGTTTATAGCTTTGAAACTCGAGGAAAATTTTTGGCAATTGTTCAATACACGTATTACGGCGTCCGTTATACACCAATCCGATCTCTGTGGAATTCTGACAGGTAATGAAATCTGAGAAGTTCTTATAAAATGTAATTCTCTATTTGAAGTCCGCTGTGCCTTTTTAGTTACACATGAGTAACTATAGATGAATATTATAACTAAAGAATGTAATTTTTGTAATGTACGATCTCATCAGATGTGTATGAAATTTCATAAAACTGTACGTTTTTTTAATTAGAACTTTTTAATAAGTAAAGAAATTAGTTCTAATTTGTGGTATGTAAGAAACAAGATATATCTTTCTGTTTATGCAGATGGAATTAAATTATTTTTAAATAATTATAAAAAAATTTTGTATTCTCTTTTAAGTTTGTGTTTGTACAAATCTTCTCTATATAAGATTGAAACATTTCAATTATAAACCGTTCAAATTTTTGTGAAGATTCTGTATGATAAAGTTTTCCTCGTTTATGAAAGTAGGCGAACAGTGTTGAATACAAACTCAAGAGCTGGACAATTCGACCTACTGCGATCCATTTTGCAATGAATTAGCATTCTTAGATCCCTTCCATTTTCAATTAATGATATCTGAAGAGTAAGATATAAGATTGTAATTTCGTTCGATCAACATAATTCTCTTTGATCAAGCACGTTTTGAATATTGTATTGTAAATTTTAAATTACAAGTAGAATTTTTATCATCTTCCATTTTCTTTTAATTATGTTTGTTATAAAATACACGTGTCCTTTAAGTAAGTATTTTTTTAAATAAACATACCAAATAAAAACCTATTTATTATTATTAGTGCTACATTTTAATATTATTATGATGTAATAATTAAATAATGTATTAAGCGCCTACGTTAATTCTTAATTATTTAATAAACTAAATAATATTCAATTGAATTATTATATATCAACAAAAATATAATCTATAATAGTTTATCTAAATACTTTAACGTCTTATAATTTTTCAATAAAAGAATGTATATAAAATAGTTAATCTAATCATTCAATCATTTATTTGCTTCTATATATAGTAGAATTTCATAAAATATAATCCTAACATTATGAAGAATTTGATATGAAACGTCACAGCAGGCGCTCGATGTCCGCCATTGCGATTAAGAAGCTTCAAATACTGTAAGGGTATAAAAACATTCATGAAACTCACCCTCTGACGCAGCTCTCTCTCAGACTCCAGATCATCCTGTAGTAGGCGGATTTTGTCCTGAAAAGAGAGGCAATAAGTATTAGAGGATATTACATGGCGCCCGTTATAGAGGGTCGACGCTTTACGTAATCATTCGACGAAAATATCCAAGAGTGGAGGCTCGGTATTTCGGAAAGACGGACGACCTCCGTAGAATAGATTCGTCCTCGGTAGAAGGAGAGAACGACGTCGCGATGTCTGCTTAGCGCGTCTTTAAACCGTTCGGCTGAGATTATTTCAAGAAAGGCGCTCATTAACGTTAGATTGCTCCAAGAGAAGCCAGGCCACTTGCAAGGGATGAAGAAATGATCTTACTTGGTCATTGTAGAGAGGCGACTATATTTCTCCTTTATACTTCTCTTGAGATGGAATACGTCCTAGAAAAGGCATATCCTTAGGTCTGAAGAAAGATGGGCCAAAGTATCTTATGGACTTAGCAAGCATTGGCAGACGGTATCTCAAAGTGGTATCGATCTAGCGCCTTGGCATGATCGTCATTTCAGACCGATATTTCACCGACTATTTTCGTGCACGAGCAATCCGATAGCTACAGAACGTCGTACACTTTGCTTCCTCGTTGGATTGGCACTAACATCTTTTATGGTCACTGAACTTTCGTAGTTCACCTTCGCGATTGGTCACTGCTCCACGATTATTCGAATCCATTACGTATCACTGATAGCCAACGTTTTAATGATGTACGGAAACTTTTGTTGAAGTTTTATCTTCATTACAACATAGTGATTAATAGATGCGACCGTGCGTTTCCTCAGGAAATGGTGGAAAACGTCTGTCGATAGATTCTTCTTTTATTCGCTTCATCATACATAGATGTAATCGTTACAATATCAATTAAATGAACTGATAAATCTCGTTGATTTATTTAAAATTCTGATTTCAACATAGCTTTCCGTATTTTTAAGGAAAATGGTTACTTCCGATTTTTACGATTATTAAATATATTTATATTGTAAAATGATTTTAGTGAAATATGAGAATTTGTAACTGTTTCGTATTGTACAAAAAATATTTTGTTGAAATTCATTATTAAATATGTTGTGTGAAAAGTATATTAAATCACAAATTTATTTAAAGCGTTTCTCGTTATAAATTTTCCGGATTATTTAATTATTTTAATTTTGCCAAGTTTATTTAAACTATTATTAAGCTAAATTTTTCTCTCTCTGAAGGAGCAGTAATTATTTCGAATTAATTTTTATTTTTAATTATTTTTAATTACTTTTAGGCAATTTAACTTTCTAAAGGCATTATAGATTTATAAATAATCTCATCCGATTTATTTAAAATATAATTAGAAGGTAGTATTTAAAAGTTGGTAATAAGCAATTGAAGAAATATACATTACTTTTAATTTTTATCATCGCTGTTGTTCTCTCTCCTACCGAAGGACATCATATCAGAGGCTTTTTTGCAGGACCTACCTCGAGTCTGCTGAGAGCGCTCAGGTCGGCGCTATATTCGATGCTAACATCGGCAGTACCCGCACCACCGGCAGAGCGGTACGTGTATTTAGAGGTTTTAGCAACCGCTGAAGCCGACATTTTTCTCTTTTTGTCCTCTACTTGTCTTCAACAATTTTTTGACTTTTTTCGTATTTTGCGGGACTCAAGTCCTCTCGTGGATTTTTAGTTTGGACACCCTCCGCCTATAACGGTTTTCCTTTCCGCCGGATAAGTCAAATCGCCTCGGCCTCAATCGTTGGTACGTCCACTCCACTTCTTCCACAGTCTTCTTCTTCCTCTTCTTCGGGGTTTCGGAGCCGACCAGCGCCCTACTCGTAGTGCGCGACCCGTCGTCGTTCGTATGGCGCGCCGGCTGTTCCATGGCTTCGTCAAAATGACGACCGACGCAAGCGCATTGATGTTGGATCCCCACCAGGAATGGTGAACATGTTCGTCACCGTCGTTGTTCTTGTCGTCTTCATCATCGCCGAGGAAACCACTAAACCACGCTGGACGCCCACGTTGTCTAAAGGTAGTTGCCAAATCGACTTCGGCTTGGCCGACTACGGTGACGAAGGTACTGAGCAGAGGATGTCATTCTTTAATGATCTTTATTATGTTACATGAGTTTCAAATTGTGTTATCAAAGATTGCGTTCTCCGGTATTCTCTGAATTTTTGAACATTAGCTTGCTACTTGAATTCCAAAATATTGTATTAGAAAAGGGTTTTTTGTTACTTGAATGTTTCAAAATATTTTATGGATTGAATTATAAAATAATTGATTATATGTGTTTAGAGAGGTGGGTATTTAAAGGCAATATGAGAGAGAGAGAGAGAGGAAATGATTAATAATCCGCAGGAAATATATCAACTAAAGTTTCGTGCATAGGCAGATTTAGATGGATGTGACAAGAGACCTTAGTTACGCTCTATTTGCTGTCCTTCTTTTCAAAAGATATATATATGTATATGTCAGTTCACTGTCCTTAAACTTAAAGCTCGGTTTGCATTTTCCTATTTATAAATATTTTCAGAATATCATTTAAAACGCACCTATTTATATTATGTACAACTTGATTTTTCTTACTTATTATACTAACATCATTTTTTTAATATGAATATGAAGAGTCTTTTCTGATGTATTTCTATCTATTTAACCTACCATTTTTCTTAAAATTATAATAACCAAATTTGGGTTCATGTTCAGCAAGCAAAAATATATCTACTCAGATAGCACACGACATTAATAGAACGTATATGAACGTATATGAACGTTCTAAGAATATTTGTACATTCTTAAAATGATCTATGAATGTCTTTAGAAGTTTGGTGCTGTATGGGTAAGAGATTATTCATATTTATGTTGCAAAGGGGTCAAATTTTGTCAGACAGTGTTATTGATAATTTAAAATCTTATTTTCTGTTTAACATAAAAAAATATGTGATATCGTACAAATTATACAAATTATTAGGCATACGATACTATAGGTAGATATAATTATTTTTTATTTCTGAAAATATTCTATCAATTACAATTATAATCTCAAATTGATTTTCATCCCTATAAGTTGATATTCATTCAGTAACTATTTTCTAAAGATGGTTTTTCGAATTCTTACGCATAAAATTGCCCGAATTAACTTAATATTGTGTACTTGAAAAGAAAGACATATAGAGTAGAATATTCTTAGTTCAGTCAATGAAACAACGAGCTCATGTCGACTCATTCAGCGATCTATCTACTCACAAGTGTAGTAGAGGAGTCGAATGATAAAAGAAAAAGATGTCAAACTATTTAACATTTAGTCATCAGCATATGTCACAACAATATTAGTTGTTTTTAGATCAGATTCATTTGTTAGTAATTTTGTAATGGCGCATATTATAACCGATATGAATATTTTTATTTAGATACATTTATCGAAAGTGGGCGAAAGTTGGCAGTGAAGAGTTGTATATATTTTTAAGCATATATACCTATGTATATACATATATACACATACATATATACATATAAGTTTAATTTAAAATAAACCTATGGTAAAAAAATGTACATCAGTGTTAATTGTTAATATAATATTTAATGTTCGTAAATGTTGCAAAATGAACAAATAAAAAAACTTTTTTAAGATGTAGATATCTAATAAATGTTATATTATTTTATATGTTTAGTTTGTTTACAACATGCATTAGAATGTATGCAATAATAAATATTTATATTGTTGTAAAATTAATATGCTACACGTTATTAATAATAGCATGAAATAAATTATATTTATATTTTAGTAAAAAAAATTTGTTTTAAATAAATTTATTTTATTTGTCATATTAATAATACATTTTATATTATATTGAATAAATTAATGCTACACTAATTGTAAATGCATTTTATTAATATAGTATACTATGTATAAATTACAAAAATAGTAATAACTCTATTATTTCAATTCTGCATTTAACTAATTTGTTTTCATGAGGTTGTTAGAATTTCTTGGTCTTTTTGCAAACCTAAAATTGCGCCAGACATTTTGGTATTTACAGACAATGTTGTTGACAATGTGACAATGAGAAACGCGAATATAGGCAGGCAGTTATCACTTCAAATTAAACAGAACGCTTGAAGTTTTTTAATTATTTATTAAAATGATTAAAATTACAAACAATTTCATCTCCCGCTTTCTCTCTCTCTCTCTCTTTCTCTCTCTTTCTCTTTTTTGCTCTTAGAATTGTATTTTATGAACTAACATTTTCATAATAAGATTATAATTAAAGATTATGATATATATACTTTTATATGTTTATACAAAAAAAAAACCGATATGTTTAAGTAAAACAATTGTACATCATTTTAATTTTTCATCGGATTACTGTTTTTATTTAGTGACTTAATAAGTAAAATTACAAAAGTATGCACCCAATTTCTAACACACATTTCTATATTTCTATTTTTTTTCTGACGAAATTGTTAACTATTTCGTAGGTATTCAGTTCTGATATTTCTGAAATGTTATTTTACAATTTCTTTGCAAAAAATGCAATCAATTTGATTAGTGGAAAGAGTAAAAACTACTTTATGCTGCTTTAGTATCTGTGCTTCAATAAAGTTCCTGTTTTCTGATATCGGTCAGAGCAAAATCGCATAGTCGTTCCGGGTGCCTCTTTTTCCGTCGGATTGCCAGTTTTCACACAATTTCCTCCCACTTTGCCCCACTACCGACGAGTGTCTATAAAAGGTCGTCGGGCGATGGTGGGCAAAAATGCTTGGTTGGCCTAGCCCGGAGCTCACCAGTAATTTGAGATTGGCCCCTTCTCTGCATGTTCATCCCCTTCTTCATCCTTCACCGCCACTTTTATTGAGTATGTGGCTCGATCTGGTGGAGAATTTCAGGTGTCAGAGAGAAGAGGTAGCACATCGTCAGACCAAACGCGAAAATAACTTTCTCATGTGTGCATTCTCTTCTCTACTTATTTTTTTCAAGCAGGCTAGTCGCATCCTCATTTTTTTCTTTCTAAATCTCTCAATCACTTTCCCTTATTTATCCCCAGTACATATATTTAATAATATATTTAATAATATATTTAATAATTAATGATAATATATTTAATAATTAATGATAATATATTTAATAATATATTTAATAATTAATGATATTTAAAATAATAGTTCTTGTTTTTGTAAAGAAGTTTATTTACCTATATTATATTTTTTTATTTATATTTATAAACAAATATTTATTTTTTTTATATTCCTTTTTTCATTTGTAACATTAATTTTATATGTAATATTCTTCTAATTTTATTATTTGTTTATATATATATATATATAGTTTCTTATTAATTCTTCTAGGGGTAAGTGCAAATTTGTAATATTTACTTTAAATTAAATTCGGGATAAAAAAAATTCAAAATAATATCAGGGTCTGTGCAAATTGGTTATGCTTATTAAGAACTGAGGATGGAAATGTATGTGGCGTTGAACACTGAAATATAGTACTCTACCTGCCAGAAAGGCTATATGTCGATTGTATTTCAATGCACGCAGATTAAAAGAATAAATACATAAATGTTCATTTATAAGGCATTTTTAGTAAAAGCAGTAAAAAAAATTGCTTTTTAATGATAAAATGATGCCCTAGAGGGTTATTTATTTTTCTGTTTTGTTAACATGTTTAAATGAAAACATATTTTATAAATTAAGGAGCAAGCCAAAGATATTTAAAAATGTGAAGTCATACCTACTTTGAGCCTTTGGCGTATATTTTTATTTTTACACGACTGCAAGAACTAGTTTATATTTATATGAAAATGTCTCCATATAAAATTATAAAATTTTCTTAAATTTATAAAAATTTCTTAAAAAATTAATAGTGA